ACCTTCCTCAGCAAGCATCCAAGCCTGGACGCATCCAACCACATCAGCGACGACATCACAACTTTGGAACTCGACAATCTCGGCTGGATCATCCTGAACGGCGACTCTGAGCCAAGCAAGTCTCCCTTTGTTCAATTTTGCACACACATCTACTATAGGGACGCGTGGACAGACGACCCAGCTTCGAACCAGTTCCGATCTGCGATCATAGAGAAGCTGATCGACTACTGTGGGACCATAAAAGCGCATGAGAAGTTCTTTACCTTGTTGGAGTTTGGGATATCAAAGGCCGAAACATGTCCCGAGGACATCAAGCGGCGGCTGCTGGACCTTGTTGAAGAGAATCGAAACCGTAACGGCAGTGGGAGTGGGAGTCGAGACAGGAGTGGGAGTCAAGACAGGAGTGGGGCTGATGAAAGTGAGGAGGTCTAACGCATCTTTCTCTCTGACAGCAGGGTTTATGACGGTTATGAAGGCTTTTGGATTCTGAAGGGGAAGCCTGCGTATACGCGTAAGGAGCTTGAAGCGGGGGGTTCAATTTCTGCGGAAGGTCGTGGGTAGCTACTTCGCATGACACCTCTCGAGGTTCTGTGGGCAACTGACAGCTAGCCATGATAGGTTTATGATAGCCTGTGTGGTCTCTAGGTCTACTGCTGGGTTTGGCATCTGGTGTCGTAGGTTCCATACACTGCTTCGCTTTTCCCAATTTTTTTCCCTTTCTTTTTTTATAAGTCATCGTTTCGAGTTACCTTTCCTGTATTTTCTTTCCTTTTTTCCCCATGTCTCTCTCGTTCCTCTCTATATATGCATATCTTCTTCCTTCCCTTCGTGTAATTTCTCTTCATGGCGGACACCTTGGATCATAGCCAATGCCCTGCGGAAGACACATCACCGAACAGAAGAGATCCCTTCATCATCGACGTCGAGTCGTTCTGCGCAGTTACGGCAGCAGTCAGTGAAGACTTGGTAGCACCTTCTCTGTTTCACCAGGCAGGAATTCTCTGCATGAATCACCTGGTCTAAGGGTTGATACAGCGGCGAATGCATCAAGGTATTGATCTGTGACTGAAAATATCTCCAGGTACGGCGGACATATGACAAGGTGAAAGCAAACACAAGTCAATAATGATCCATCGAGACCATAGGGCGGCCGATGTGCCACTGAATCATCGTTCTCATGGTATGGTCGCAATGACAGCAGGTCTTTGACATTCAACTTCATGCAGCTCTTTCCAACGAACCCTTGATCTCTCCCTTCCTCACCTGAAGTCTTTCTATCCGAACCACTTTTGGCTGGAAACCGAGAAAAGGAAGCCGAATTTCCAGTCGAAATTCTCCCAGAAACACTCGCCGCATCGCAGAAGAGATTTAGAACTACCGCTTCTGGCAGACATACCTCCTACCTGATTTATCGCCGCATCTTTCCTCGCTTCGAACGCACGACAATGGACGACTCTCCTTCCGTTCTCCAGCAACCACAACGTTCAAGCTTCCTCCGGACCCGGTGGTGGGGAGAGTTTGTGTTGCTCTTCTTCATCCTGTACTACACGCTAGCTGCGACCATCCTCCTGTTCATGGTCCACGACCACCCAAGAACAAAGGAATTTTTCAAAGGTAAGACCTGAATGCCACCATTACTAGGTACCTACCTACCATTCGTACAATCGCTAACAGCCAAAAACTCTTTCAACCTTGCTAGGCACCTCCCCAGCATCCAACACGTCTCCCTCCACCACCCTCCACACCCGCGACGCCGCATGCCTCTACGATCCGTGCCGCAAGCAACAGGATATAGCCACCCTCCTCGCCCTCTTCGCAGGTTTCGTCGCCGCCGACCAGTGGTACGCGCATCACTGGATCTTAGCGGTGCTGAAGAGCCAGGTGATCATCTTCGTCGGGCTCGTATGCTGGGGGATCTGGCTTCGTGGGAAACAGTTCCAGGTGTGGCAAATCACGCTTCAATCGTGGCTTATAAGGGGACTGCTTGGGCTGGCGGGGTGGTGGTCGATCGATTTGGCGTTTTGGGTTGTGGGTGTTTATGGGACGCCGGGGTGTCCTGTTGGTAAAAATACGGGTGATTAGTTCATGGGTTGGGAGAAAGGGGAAAAAAAAAGGACTTTGTTACCTATGGGAAGGTTGAACTTTTTCCGGAAGGGAGCACGAGGGCTGGCCCAACTGACCGGGAGTCAGGGGCGCAGGACTCTAAATGTGTGATATCCCTTGTGGGTGTTGGTGGTTTGTATTGAAGGGAAGGGAGGCATTAAGGTACGGTACGGATGCAAACAGTTGTTGGACGGGAAGGACTAACAACGACTCCCGTCTTGGCCCCCGGACGGGTGAATTGACAAAGAGTCAAAGGCACGGATTGGAGGCACTGCCCATCGTTGGTCCCAAGACGGCGGGCGATTAACCAACAAGATGATCCAACACAACATCATTCTCTCGGCCGGCCCTGGCAGGAGATGGGATTTTTGCGCGAAATTCTCATTCCATTGTTTGGCCATAAAGGGCAAAATGCCCATCTGCAATGCCTGGCCATCTTCAGTGACACATGCGCACATCGCATCCCTCACTTCTGTTCTTCTCTGTCACCTTTGGTGTAGGTTATAGGGCGGAACTTCTCCATTCGTATCTTGTGAAGCTACTACGTTTCTCATGGCTCAATCCAGCCCTCTCCCCGTCGACCTCAAAAAATATCATAACATGGAAAAAGGATCATCGCCTCTCATCACCACCCGTGCACCGTGGCGGCGCCTTCTCAACTCGGTCCATGTCTCTCGACGGCTGAAGACACTATGGCCCTTCCTGCTCCTTTTCCACCTCCTCTCCGCCATCTTCATCATCGCCCTCATCGTGTTCATCCGCAACACCACCACCGAGCGCTACGGCACCGCCGACGGTGACAACATTGACCTCATCCTGTCTAGCTTCCCTTTCCCGCCCCCAACAACACCTGCCTACCCCTTCCACCCCGTCGACCTCCATGACCGCGCCACAAACTTGACCAAGCGCTGGGGGCACTTCGACCGCCTGCCCACGACCCCCAAGTGCTACAGGCAAGAACGAACTGCCGCTCTGATCTCCCTCTTTGGCGGTGGCATCTTGGGCGCTGACCAGCTATACGCTGGCAACCTACGGATTGGACTGACACGGTTGCTGCTACACGTTTGGGCTTGGTGTTCGGTCACCGTGGCAGGTTGTGTCTTGAAGGTGCACGACGACCTGAGCACGGCGATTCTGGTCATGTGTGGGATTGTGTGGTTCCTGGGTGGTTTGACGGAGGGGGGAGTGTGGATCTGGGCGGTGGTGGACTTGGTGAGGTGGATTATTGGGGGATATTATGGTACGAAGGGGTGTCCTGTTTGAGCAGACCTTGAGGGGGGAAGAGGATAGTGGGAGTCGGGGGTTATGGAGAAGAACTAGTTGTGGGTGTTGGAGTGGGAGATTGACGTTGACAGTCAGGGTTTCCGACCTGGGAGCGCTGGTCTGATAAGCGAAGCTTGATGCTGCGAGTTTCAGGCATTTTGGCGGTAATGGCGAGGGTGGGTAGAGGTATTCATGGGCGCTGGGTACCTAGTTGATGGTGGATCCATTTACCAGTTTCCTGGCACAGCACACAGGCACCAAGCGAAAGACCCGACATCGAGATCCAGAAATGTCATCCTTCATCCCGCCTACGATGGAAGCCAGCACGCACCAAGCAAACCCGCCGCCAATGAGCAACAATGTGCGTCCCAAGATACCTTGAGAAGCAAAGGATGTATCATCGAACACATGCTACAGCCACATCTGTGTCTTCACGGCCTACACAGCGACTCATCATGTCCGTATAGCCCGTCCATAAAGAGATGTCTACCTCGTTCTCTACCAGAAGTCAGCAACTCCAACCTGCGTACAACAAGACATCCTCACGCACGAGTATACGCAAAATTCCCTGTCAGTTTTCGAGCGAACAAGCGCCATAATATGGAACCGAATCCCTCATTACCCGCCCGCTTCGCTTTCGTCAGCGGATCGACCTCTGGCGAGTCTGGGCCATAACCTACCCCTTCCTCGTAGCCATGTACGTTACCGTCATTGCTGTCCTCTCCATATCTGGCGTTCGTGCTGCTACCCAAGGTCGTCTTTCCGATCCTCCCGGTGATACGGAAGATGCAATTTCCATCATCCAAGAGGCATACCAAGCCCTCCAATGTCACTCCCAACAACAAACAGCCGCGCTCCTGTCCTTGAGCCCTGCCGGGCTTCTTGGGGCAGACCAGATCTTCGCCGGAAACAATATGCTAGGCTTGGGCAAGTTGCTGGTGGGGACCTCGGCCTTGCTCACTTGGGCTGCGTTTTGGACCATCGACAAGGAGAAGTATCCCTTGTGGGCGATGGATCTTTTGAGCTTGACTGGGGCCCTGACGGCGGTGTGAGTTGTCGTGGGGAGGGTTTGATGCGTTGATTTGGCTTGTTGGTGGGGTTTATGGCGTTCCTGGGTGTCAATCAAATCTTGATGGTTGAAATTGAAAATCTGCGAGGTGTGCACTGCTGGGATGGGTCCAGTCAGATACCGACTCTCGCCACGAAGTTTGGGGGATTTTTCGAGTTGCCCGTGGTTTGGTACCTACCTAGAGATAGCAAATTAGAAACGGGAGAGCGTTGTGTTCAAAGAGGCCAGGAAATGCAGGCAGACTTGACCTTCGAAGCAAGAACCAGACCCAGACGAACCAGGGGGTGAAGCTGATAATACGGTATTTGATGCAAAAATTACCTAGAGGTATGTTGAGATTCAGGTTGGCGTCCATCCAAACTGCCGCAATACAGTTGATATCCTCATCGGTAGCTTAATTATTCCAACCGAAACCTGGCCGGCATCTCGATCGGGGGCAATGTAAACAAAGTAAACAAAGTAAACAAGTCGTCTTGCAACTCGGCTCAGCGCTAATTTGGGTGTGCTGCTGTATGCGGATTACTTATGTGTATGTCATATCCCTGTTAGTCAACAATCTTCCAACGGCTGGATGGCCGAGCGGTCTAAGGCGCTAGACTCAAGAATCCAACTTCTTCTGCACAAATGTGCGGTGCATTCTAGTATTGAAAGATGCGTGGGTTCGAATCCCACTCCAGTCACTTCTTTTTTTCCTTGACTTTTCTTTTTCCTTTTTTGCCCTTTTCTTCGTGCTGTCAGTAATGGGATGCTTCAGCTTTTTCTGTGAAAAAAAGAAACATCGTGTTTGAGCATTGACCGGCGTTTCAATTGAAAGGAAGACGGGATGTTAGTGCGTAAGATGCAATGTCTCGGGCTGTTTGTGCACTAAAACGCAGACATGTAAACTACTGTGGCAAGTCCTTCGCCGAGGACTGGCCTTGGAGTAGCGGGAGCAGAGCTCGTTCAGTTTTCACAGTCGCAACTTGCTCGTGTGATACTGTTGGGAAGACACAAAAGAGGCTCTGTTCTTCACTTAGTCCATTTCATATCAATCTTGAGGTGACTGTAAAACTTCGTGATACTGCCCTGACCTCCGTCGGTGCTCCTGGTGAGTTGGCGTCAACGTGCTGACCCTCCGCTGTCGGAAGCCCCTGAAACCCTGAGCCACAGGGCAGCCGCAATGGCTCCTGCGCTAGCACTAACAAATCTTTTGGGCGTGTTCACCAGCCGCCCAGCTCCACAGAACATTCCCGTCTCGTTCGTGTCGATGGAAACGGTTTGCGTATAAAATCCCCATGTCGCAGAAAACAGCGAGAACAAAGGCTTCCACTTTCTTCAATTCCTCAAACGCAGTGTGGCCCAGAGGCGATGTGTAGCCCAAAAACAAAAAGCGGCTTGCCGTTGTTCTACAGCTTGGCCTTCCACATGGCCCTGTGTGCGTTCCTTTGCCTCAGGACAAAGCACGGCATGTTAACAGTTAAACACGCTTTTATAGCTTATGCTATCAGACCGTAGGTATATCTCCATTTGCATCTATTCAACCGGATTTGTTTGGGCCTTCCACGCTTTTATCCCATGCGGTCTGGCTTTCATTCCATCCGAAGAGTAATTCAAGCCCCGGTGATTCTCTGGATCAACCTCGGCGAGCAGTGTCCGTCATTGCCCAGCATCCAAGAGGACTGATCCATGTTAACAAGGTGGCGGAAATGCATGTATCTACATGATACTACAGTATACTGCCTGACCAAGCGGTCGCACACTAATTAATGCCCGTCGTATTTAGGCGCCGGTGGTGGTAGCTGACGCGGAGGTTCCTGTGACGGCAAATTGCGATAGTAAGCGGATATGTGGTGTGGGTGAGTGGGATAATTGTCCCAGGCGTTGCGCTGCTTCAAAAAGTTGTCCACTCTTGCCTCTCTGCCCAGACCGGCCTGTTCACCGTACCGTTGTCGCAATTCCTTGTCGATGGCGGCGTGCTTCTGGTCGTGATCGTCCACGAGAGCGATGCCGCTCTGTACACCATATGTAGCATGCTGCCAGCTGCCGATAATGACAAAGACGGAAACAATGGCGACAAATGCGCCGTTGGATACGAAGATGGGTTTTTGTTGCCCACCAGTGCCTCCCGACTCCTGCTCCTTACGCCATTGTTCCCAATCCTCCCATGTAGCGTTCATGCTCGCATTACCGGGGCGGCGGTGCCAGGCGTTGAGATTCGAGCGGATGTCATCGTTGGGCAGATCTGGATGGTTGCTCCAGCCAAGATCGTAAAGATCGTACATGCGGCGCTTTTGCGGATTGCTCAGAATATCGTTGGCGGCAACGACGAGGCGATAGCGCTCAAGCTTGGTTGGATGAGGGATGTCGTGAAGGCCCGTGTGGGGGTGTCGGTCCGGGTGGTAAAGCTTCACCAGCTCAAGGAAGCGCCTCTTGTTATACGGGTCGTCCTTGCTTTGACCGAAGATCTCGTAGGGTGTAGGGTTTTTGGACGCGGGCCAAAGCGATGCGGGGTGATCTTTCGGCAGCTCAGCGTCTGCTGCGCCGTGATGGACCGAGGCGAAACGGCGGGTTTGGAAAGCTCCCTGGGCACCCGGAGCAGTCGGACAAAGGCCAAAGAAGATTGGATCGGCGGATAGAGTGCTATATAGGCGACTTGGTGATGCCCGGACTAGCGTGAGCGGGCTATGGGATGTGAGGGCGGTATTGCCGGGGTAGAGGATGGCGGCAGATTTCCACGAAAACATGATGACGGTTTCAACTAGTCATGTTGGTGTTCACTGAGGCTGATAGAGAACCATGGCTCCAGGCGCGACAATTCAGCGTGCCTGAAAGTCGAGTAGGAGTAGGTAGGCGTGGAAGCCGGGAGGAGATGGCCGATTGATGGAAGGTGGAAATGGATCATGTTCGGTTCATGCTGGGAGCTCAGCCATTGGTGCCTGCCGTACCTTTTATGTACCAAGTCGTAGTGTTGTATGCTGCGGAGGACAGTACCGCTTATTCTCATTTAACAGGATTTATTCCCCCTGTCGCGACCAATTATGTCGCTTGCTGAGGCCTGCATACCCCGATTATGTATCACGTAGTAATGTACAGTAGGTACGGAGGACGGTAACCTGAATAAAGTGACCGGGCATGATGCATAAGGTACACTCACTGATGTGACCGATTTAAAAAGACATTTTACTGTTTCCCAATGTCAGACTTCATAAACTTGCCAGTTCCCAACTCGTCACCATTGCTAATCCGAGACTCTCTTTTGTCCTGTTTCAGCTAAGGTATGTATCATGAAATACAGATGTGGATGCCCCGCCGCTGATATCCCAATACCTAGTGGATGACGTACAGGTACCTATACAATGTACCGGGCAACCACCAGAACTGCAACTGGAAGCCACGAACTGCCCCTGAGTGGAACTGGAAGGCGATGCCGCGGCCGAGTGGTGGCCTTGGTGGCGCCGACTTCCCTTGCGAGGGGAACGGGATTCGTGGTGGACACGATGGTGACAACTGGGAGGAGCACGGTTCGGCAGGGAAACATAGAGGGAACACGTGATCCGAGTCCCTCAGCTTCTGCCGGAACAGTTTTGACGAGGCGCTCCGGGCACCTTCGTCCACTCTCCCCGAGTCCAGGTCCAGCGCTGCCCTGAATCACGACTTCCGCACCGCCTCGCCTTCGCCCAAGCTTCGGAAGTTTCCCTCAAACTCTCTGCCTTTCTGCCCCGCTTTCAGACGACCACCACAACATCCAACAAACCATCACAGCAGAAACACTCGAACGCTGAAAAAGCACCATCTCTCGTCCCACTCTCCCAAAGGCATCGCACACGTCTCTTTGATTCGCCCTCTATTTTTCACAGGCCAATCAAGACCCAGCCGTCGACACCGAATCGCATTCCTCGCAGCCTCTCCCACAGAAGACGTCGCTCGACTTGGAGGCATAGCAGAAAAAAAATCAAAATCAAACGATTGAGAACGTCCTTGGTGCTCCCACACGAAACGAGCCTCCTCGCGACCTCATCTCCCTCTACTACCGTATCACCCTTGTCCTCACGACCACTCGCGATAGGCCTCTCTCTACCTCACCTAGTCGCGCCTGTTTGGCCCAGCTCACCGTCAACACACCGGAGTCTAAAACAAAAGAGAAAGAGGGGATTCCCAACCACAACTAGTGCTCCTCTCCCCCTTGCCAGCCACCTGCCCATTTTCGCTACACATCCCCGGAGACGAAGCCATCGCGCTATACGCTCTCCTTTTTTCGCAACATCCGAGCCTCTACCACAGGTCCCACAACCGACCAACGACCCTCTAGCAAAATGTCCGACCAACTAGCGGACCAGATGAAAGCTACTAGTCTGAGGTAGGTTGACCGCCTTCCCTTTTGTCGCAAACCCAGCTGACATTGTTGTGATAGCTCAGGCCCCGAAGACTGGAAAAAGAACCTTAATTTGCCTGCCAGGGACACAAGACACCAGACCGAAGATGTCACAAACACGAGGGGTCTGGATTGGGAAGAGTTCATACACGACAGGGATCTCCTGATGGGTATCTTCGAGGCTGGCTTCGAGAAACCGTCGCCAATTCAGGAAGAAGCGATCCCCGTCGCCCTCACCGGCCGAGACATCCTCGCACGCGCAAAGAACGGCACCGGCAAGACTGCCGCTTTCGTCATCCCCGCCCTCCAGAAGATCAACCCCAAGGTCTCCAAGATCCAATGTCTCATTCTCGTCCCCACCCGTGAGCTTGCCATGCAGACATCTCAAGTCTGCAAGACGCTCGGCAAGCATCTCGGCATCAACGTCATGGTGACAACCGGTGGAACGGGTCTGCGCGACGACATTGTGCGTCTGCAGGATCCCGTACACATCGTCGTCGGAACACCAGGCCGCATCCTCGATCTAGCTGGCAAGCAGGTGGCTGATCTCAGCGAGTGCCCAATGTTCATCATGGATGAGGCTGATAAGCTCCTGTCGCAAGAGTTCACCCCCGTCATTGAGCAGCTGCTGCAGTTCCACCCCAAGGATCGTCAAGTCATGTTGTTCTCCGCCACCTTCCCTCTTTCGGTCAAGGACTTCTCGGATAAGAACATGACTAGCCCGTACGAAATCAACCTCATGGACGAGCTTACCCTACGCGGTATCACCCAGTACTATGCCTTTGTTGAGGAGAAGCAAAAGGTTCACTGCCTGAACACTCTGTTCTCCAAGCTTCAGATCAACCAGTCCATCATCTTCTGCAACTCTACCAACCGCGTCGAACTTCTCGCCAAGAAGATCACCGAACTCGGCTACTCGTGCTTCTACAGTCACGCCAAAATGGCTCAGCAGGCGAGAAATCGTGTCTTCCACGATTTCCGCAACGGTGTCTGCCGTAACTTGGTCTGCTCGGATCTCCTCACCCGCGGTATCGACATTCAGGCTGTGAACGTTGTCATCAACTTTGATTTCCCCAAGAACGCCGAGACGTACCTTCATCGCATTGGTCGCTCTGGTCGTTATGGTCACCTTGGTCTTGCTATTAACCTGATCAACTGGGATGATAGATTCAACCTTTACAACATTGAGCGCGACCTTGGTACTGAGATCCAGCCCATTCCTCAAACCATTGACAAGAGCCTCTATGTGTACGAGAACCCCGAATCTATCCCCCGGCCCATCTCGACCTTCAAGCCTGTTGCCCAGCAGCCGCATCATCAACAACAGCA